CGTCCAGACTGCCCCGATCTGCTGACAAACAGCTGATCAGCAGAGCGGGGCAGCCATTTAAATTTAAATGAAGCCGCGATTATTTTAATCGCGGCTTCATTTCCCTCTGCCGATCTGTCTAATCTACATGCCTCCGTCGACGGAGGCATGTAGTCTAGACGTACCCTAAGTGAGCTTAGTTTAAATGTTCTTTGGAAAGTTTGGCGTCTGGGTAAGGTAACTTGGTCTGGATTTTATTAGGGGTATTAGATATGTAGTTGAGTAGTCGTGTAACTGCATGAAATCTTAGTGGTTATATGACTTATTCAATAGTCCCCAGGGGCAGAGCAGGGGGGTGGCAGAGAGAGCTGGTCCATCAGGGAAATTGGTTTAAAATGCAACTCATGCAGATAGTTGCCTAGATCAGCCTCAGTCCATAGCAGGCCCTGGCTTATCGGTTAATTGTGTAGTTGTTTACACGATGACATCCCTAGATTTTATAGAGACTTTCTGATAGCTGAAAGTGGCAGAAAAGCTAATCTGGGGAGTTGTTGTTCAAGTGTGTGTGTTCAGGTGTGTGTGTGTGTTCAAGGGAGTTGGTTGGAAGGGAAACCAGCAAGGGAAGAGAGATTGCATGGAAGCAGATAGTGAAGAGAGAAAGAGAGAAGTGGACCAAAAAGCTGCTGCGGGAACTGGAGAGTGAACAGGGATGGGGGAACAGAAAGAAGCAGAGATACAAAGAAATGCAGTAGGGAAGTAGTATGTGGAAAGCAGTACATATGGTGTTGATTGAAAGGAATCTGCAGCTGGTTTGATATTTGCTCCTGCAGGGAATACAGAATAATGAACTTGGCCCTGGTAGCAAATAAATGGGGAAATTATTTTCAAATATTTTGTGAGTCTGTGTGTGTCGACAGCCGTATCTACCTTTGTATTTTAAGTCCACTTCCCTTCAGGGGCTCTACCACAGGAGAGCATCTTCCCTTACCACAAGAGGCGTTCTAGCTGATTTGCCTGTGGAGGCTGAAACAGGCAGCAACTAAATTAGTTTATCTTTTGACTGCCCTGGGCACGCTCTTCTCAGCGAGCAGCTCTGAAGACTTGTGCGGCGGGCACTGCTCCATGAGGCCCTGCACACTGCTCTGCCCTGGCTGAAATGGGTGAAAAACAGGAGAGATTCTGGGCTACATTTAGTTAGTGCTCTCGCCCTCCGTCCTATTCCCAGGCGTAGCTTTGCAACTGGCTTCAATGAATCCAAGTTTGAGCCTTTAGTGATGTGGGAACTTAAACAGGTTTATTTATTTATTTATTTATTTATTTAAGATGTGTTTTGTTTCCCTTTCCGCAGCATGTGTCTTAGTGTGAAATTAACTAATGGCAGCCCAAGCAAACTGATTAGTTGGTTGGTTAGCAGGTTCCATTGTTACAATTTCCCATTAGCGAGCTGTTCAGAAAAGATACGTACTTTCCATATTTCTCAGACAGGTATCCGCTACACAGACTCCCCAGCAGTCCCCCTACAAAGTAGATAGACACAATGAGGGACCATAGCAATGTGATGGTCTCCTGATGGAGGGGAAAGCCGTGTCGCTCCAGCCAGGTTTTGTTGATAAACCTCTTAATGTGCTGAGAAGGAAAAGGGGATTTTCATTAACAGTCGTTATGACTCAATGCATGCTCCATTATATTTAAAGCGGGGGTGTGTTGCAATAGTAACCAATAATTACTATTTAAAGAAACGATAACATGAGACTGGCAAATAAAAGTCTAGGAAAAGTCCACATAGCCACATTTCTTCTTCTTACCAATGTTGTCTCTGGAAGTCCGTTTTGAAATGCTGTGTATTGATTTCAGGGCGAAAGGAGGGGCTAACGACTGTGGGTGTTTCAAATAGCAGCAGTAGAACTGAGATGATGTCAGAAACGTTGTTTGTTACTTTTTGGTTAACGTTTTGATTGAATGTATTGCTTACAGAAGCAAGAGACTAGTAGAATGTGAACTTTCCCCAGTAAATTCTGATACTACACCTAACAGAGCTGTGACAGTGTACATGGTTAGACGGTGACCCGATGAGCCTTCCTGGTTACACGCAAGCACCTCCCCACGCCCCACATGCCGCTGCCCCTTTTAAGCAGGTTCGCTGTTAACGTTTTGATTGAATGTATTGCTTACAGAAGCAAGAGACTAGTAGAATGTGAACTTTCCCCAGTAAATTCTGATACTACACCTAACAGAGCTGTGACAGTGTACATGGTTAGACGGTGACCCGATGAGCCTTCCTGGTTACACGCAAGCACCTCCCCACGCCCCACATGCCGCTGCCCCTTTTAAGCAGGTTCGCTGTGAATACCGGCTCTCAGGGAGCCTCCTGCCATCCCTGGCTTAAAAGTCAGCTCCCTGCAAGCACTAGCTCCTGTCTGTCCTCCCCCACCCAAACTGTGCTGCTGCCTCTGAAGGTGGCTCTGCAGAAGCCAGTGTGCGCTGGGAGCCGGTTTAAAAACCTCCCCCCCCCCATGACAATGTCAGTGGTTACACTTTTACACACAAATGCATTTTCATATCCCTCCACCAAATCCCTGACATGCTGGTGTTATTAATTAATTAATATTCCAGTCCAGGGTTCCTCTCTTAAGCAAAGACGGCAGAAAATTGTGCCCCGTTTTCGGTGACGGTGTTATATAAGAAACCAAACTTGTTTTCACACATCCTCTGAATCCCAAGTGTTGCGAGAGGAAAGGCTGCTGAGCAGGTCAAATGCACCATCTCCTCCACTGACACTTGGAAAATTTTGTGCAAATTTCCACACTCAAATATCAGGTCATCTGATGGGTTCCTTTCACATATCTGTATTCCTACTTCAGTGAGGCCAAAGGACTTTTGGGGGATTAGAGGCTCTGCTACACCACCACTTTTTAATCTTGAAATGTACCCTCTCTGTTAGTCAGGTGTCTGTGTCACACACACAGCCTTTCCTCCCCAGTCCATGCTGGGTGACTTGTTTCGAACGGAAGAAGGCAGGAGCAGAGAGGGTTTTACCAAGAACTCCCTCCGTGAGTGGCTGGAGTCAGAAATAGACTATGCACCGCTCCCTTCCCAGTGCTCTCCCTGCTGGCACGGGCAGTGGGTATGCTAGGCAGGGGAACCTCCTTCCCCATGCTCCAGAGAGGCCTTCAGCCAGGGCTGGGGAAGGGGTGGCCTGTCCCTGTGGGAGAGGGTGTACTTGACTCCCATGAGCCTGGGCGGAAGGGGGATTGTGCTACGTTCACCCACCGCCCATGTCTATGGAATGGTATCTGTGAAGTTCTGTGCTTCGTCTAGACTCTCTTCTTTGCTGGACATACAGGGTGGGGATGGAGAGTGTTGGGAACAGTCTCAATAGACACACACAATGGATTTTTTAAAGGCGCATCCTCAAGCGAGGACCCAGCGCCCGTCGCGGAGGGGTCTTCGATGAAGGCTGTGCTTACCATGGAAGAGTAGCTGATCACAGACATGTGAAAACCTGGCAGGAAGCTTCCACCAATTCCCAGGACAAACATCATCTGAAATAGCCCCCGGTACTGAATCTGCAAAAAGATGATAAAACACACCCCAAGTTTATGGTATGGTCCTCAGATCCATGTGTAATACAGCTCTCTCCTTCCGGAACCATGTTATTCACTGCAGGCACTTCCAACCCCAGAAACCTTTGCACAGTAAGCAAGGTTCAAGCCCAAAGGGGTGCCATCCCCCATTCACAGGCACCCCCAATCCCAGCCAGGAGGTGAGAGAGAACCAACATTCCCTAGGAATCTCATCTAAAGAGACAAGACAAAGACCCGCTATAGCCCACTTCACTGGAAGGACCATTGCGTTCAGGACAATAGGGGTATGTCTAGACTACATGGCTCCAACCCTGGGGTTGTCCATGAACACGTTAAGTATGCTGTCTAAAGGCTTACGGATGATGCTGGGGTTGGATGCGTGGAATGGCAGCGTTTCATCCCCTCTTTTCCCACACACCTGTTTTACTTCTGTAAAGTGGGAATTGTTTTTTCTTTGTCCCTTTTGCCAAAACTGTATCGCAGGAATTCTCTAAAAGAAAGCCTTTTCGCATGAGGCTTATGACACAGATGCCAAATCTACACCACCACTTATGCTGGGAAAACTTATATCACCCTTCCCACCCCCCAAGAGACATGGGTCCTGCCTGTGTAATTGATAGTGGACACAGTGCCAGCTCGGTGGAAGATCCTCTCCTACTGACATAGCTACCACCCACCGCTCGTTGGGGTTTTTAATGCTGACAGAAGAGTTTGCTGCTGTCTACACAGCGCGGCTGCGCATCAGTACAGCTGTACCACTGGCAGCACGCTAATGGAGACATAGCCTGAACGAATTGTTAGTCTTTGATCTGCAAACCCCTCTGAGCCACAAGAGAACCCAACACCCTAGTCAAGTTTGTTTTCATTCTGCCTCATACTTTGGGAAGGACTAGTGGCAAACAGGCTGTGCTATCCTTCCTCCTTGCTCCTGGAACATAAAGTTGTCATGATTCTACCTTCTCCTGTTGGCCATCCCAATGCAACCATACAGCTAAGACAACTGTAAACTAACTATAACCTGAAAAATTAGAACTATAAAAGGGAAATAAGAACAACCCAGGAAACTACAGACCAGTCAGCTTAACGTCTGTGCCAGGGAAGATAACGGAGCAAGTAATTAAGGAATCCATCTGCAACCATCTAGAAGATACCGTAAAACTCCACTAGTCCAGCATCCAGTTGTCCGGCACTGCTGATAGTCCGGCATCAACTGGAACCTGGAACTGCTCAGGTCAGCCACGCTCATGGCCAGGCCACTGTGACCTGCGCCGTTCCACTCACGGTCCCCAGTGCACACAGCGTCCAACCAGCACGTGCTAGCAGCCGGCCGCTGAGCACAGGCAGCTGCTTCGGGACCCGGATATAAGGCTGGGGGAGAAGGGGGATTGAGTGACTACAGCGAGGGGAGGTGTTTGGCTCTGGGGAAGGGGAGGGGAGAGGAGGAGAGGGGAGGAGGATTGGCTTGCGCACGGCGTTCTTGCCAGCTCATTGAAAAGCCGGCTGCTCAGCGCATGTGCCCCAGTGCCGGGAGGGAGATGCGTGGCTGTACTGGCGGCTCTGGGACCCAAGCATGGGGGGAGGGAAGGGGATTGGGTTGGGAGTATGGCCGCTTATAGCACCTCCTGGTACTCTGGCATATCTGATAATCTGGCACCACCTAGGTCCCAAAGATGCCGGATTATTGGAAGTCTACTGTAATAAGGTGATAAACAATCACCAGCATAGATTTATAAAGAACAAATCATATCAAACCAACCTGATAACTTTCTTTGATAGGATAACTAGCCTGTGGGATAAGGTGGAAGTGATAGATGCAGTATACCGGGACTTTAATAAAAATAACGAGGAGTTCTGTGGCACCTTAGAGACTAACAGATTTATCTGGGCATTAGCTTTCATGGGTTTTACCCAAGAAGGCTTATTCCCTAAAAAAAGTGTTAGGGTATTTCTACACTTGCACCCTAGTTCGAACTAGGGAGGCAAATGTAGGCGACCGAAACTGCTAATGAAGCGGGGATTTAAATATCCCACGCTTTATTAGCATGATCTCGCCGGCGCGTTACTCCGCTCAACAGCTGTTGTGAAAGTGCGCACCGGGATGCATTAGTTCAAACCAAACCTCTCATTTTTTGAGGAGTAACATTATTTTGAACCAAGGGGTTTGGTTCGAACTAACGCGTCCTGGCTCACACTTTCACTTTCAAAACAGCTGTTGAGCAAAGTAATGCGCCGGCGAGATCATGCTAATGAAGCACGGGATATTTAAATCCCCGCTTCATTAGTAATTTCTGTAGCCTACATTTGCATCCCTAGTTCGAACTAGGGAGCAAGTGTAGATGTACCCTTAGTCTTTTTTGACAGAAGCCTGTAGTGTAGACATACCTTGCGTATCTTATTTCAATGCTATTTCAAAATAGCTTATTTTGTCATTTGGTGCTGTCTATGCTATTCCAAAACATCCCTGACTCCTCGTAGAATGAGGTTTACAGGGATGTCAGAATAGCAAGCCCAAAATAACGGATTTGCTGTGAAAATGCGGGATAGCTATTTCGGCATATTCCAGTATCCTGAAATAGTGTTGCAGTGTAGATATAGCCTAAGGTGCCACAGGACTTCTTGTTGTTTTTGCAGGATATAGATTAATAAGGCTACCCCTCTTGGACTAGATATTAGTAAATTATCTGATGTAGTTTCTCATGACCTTCTTGTAAATAAACTAGGGAAATACAATCAAGACAGGGCTACTATAAGGTGAGTGCATAACTGGTTGTATAACCATTCCAGGAAAGTAGTTATCAACGGCTCACAGTTGTGATGAAAGGGCATAATGAGTGCAGGGACCAGTTTTGGGACCGGCTCTGTTCAATATCTTCATCAACAATTTAGATATTGGCACAGAGAGGATGCTGATTAAGTTTGCAGATGACATCAAGCTGGGAGGGGTTGCAAGTGCTTTGCAGGATAGGGTCAAAATTCAACATGATCTGTATAAACTGGAGAAATGTTCAGAGGAAAATAGGACAAAGTTAAATAAGGACAAATGCACTTAGGAAGGAACAATCAATTTCACACACACAAAATGGGAAGCTACTGTCTAGGAAGGAGTATGGCAGAAAGGGATCTAAGGGTCAGAGTGGACCACAAGCTAAATATGAGTTAAAACTATTTGGGGCGGAGGGAAGCAAAAAAGCAAACATGATTCTGGGCGGCATTAATAGGAGTGTTGTGAGCAAGACACGAGAAGTTATTCTTCCGCTGTACTCTGCGCTGATTTGGCCTCAACTGGAGATTTGTGTCCAGTTCTGGGCATCACATTTCAGGAAAGATGTGGAGAAAATGGAGAAAGTACTGACAAGAGCAACCAAAATTATTAAAATGATTAATTCCACTTTATCAGCTGAATGATTAGACATACACAAATCCATGTGTCTAGATTTAATGTATCAGAGGATACTGAGAGAGTTAGCAAATGTCATTGCAGAGCTTTTGGCCATTACCTTTGATATATGATTGGAAAAAGGCAAATGTAGTGCCCATCTTTAAAAAAAGGGAAGAAGGACAATCCAGGGAAGTACAGTCCGGTCAGCCTTACATCAATTCCTGGAAAAATCACAGAGGGGATTCTCAAGGAATCTATTTTGAAGCAGTTGAAAAAGGGGAAAGTGATTATAAGGGTGATTATTATAGGGTGTCATAAGGAGGAGGGAGAAAACTTGTTCATCTTGGCCTGTGAGGATAGGACAAGAAGCAATGGGCTTAAACTGCAGCAAGGGGGGTTTAGGTTGGACATTAGGAAAAAGTTCCTACCTGTCAGGGTGGTTAAACACTGGAATAAATTGCCCAGGGAGGTTGTGGAATCCCCATCTCTGGAGATATTTAAGAGCAGGTTAGATAAATGTCTATCAGGGATGGTCTAGACAGTATTTGGTCCTGCCATGGGGCAGGGGACTGGACTCGATGACTCTCGAGGTCCCTTCCAGTCCTAGTGTTCTATGATTAGGAATAGTCAGCATGGATTCACCAAGGGCAAGTCGTGCCTGACCAATCTGATTAGCTTCTATGATGCTGTAACCGGCTCTGTGGACACGGGGAAGTCAGTGGATGTGATATACCTGGACTTTAGCAAGGCTTTTGATATGGTCTCCCACAATATTCTTGCCAGCAAACTAAGGAAGTATGGATTGGATAAGTGGACTGTAAGGTGACTGGAAAGCTGGCTAGATTGTCAAGCCCGAAGTCTAGTGATCAATGTCTTGATGTCTGGTTGGTGCTTGGTTTCAAGTGGAGTGCCCCAAGGATCAGTTGTAGGGCTGGTTTTGTTCAACATCTTTATTAATGACCTGGATGAGGGGATGGATTGCACCCTCAGCAAGTTTGCAGATGACACTAAACTAGGGGAAGAGATAGATACATTGGAGGATTGGGCCAAAAGAAATCTGATGAGGTTCAACAAGGACAAGTGTAGAGTCCTGCCCTCGGGACGGAAGAATCCCAAGTATTGTTACAGGCTGGGGACTGACTGGCTAAGTAGCAGTTCTGCAGAAAAGGACCTGGAGTTGACAGTGGATGAGAAGCTGGATATGAGTCAACAGTGTGCCCTTGTAGCTAGGATGGCTAATGGCATATTAGGCTGCATTAGGAGGAGCATTGCCAACAGATCCAGAGAAGTGATTATTCCCCTTTAGTTGGCTCTGGTGAAGCCACACCCACTGGTGAGGCCACATCTGGAGTATTGCGTCCACTTCTGGGGCCCCCGTTACAGAAAGGATGTGGACGCATTGGAGAGGGTCCAGCGGAGGGCAACCAAAATGATAAGGGGGCTGAAGCACATGACCAACAAGGAGAGGCTGAGGGATTTGGGCTTGTTCAGTCTGCAGAAGAGAAGGGTGAGGGGGGATTTGAGAGCAGCCTTCAACTTCCTGAAGGGAGGTTCCAAAGAGGATGGAGAGAGGCTGTTCACAGTAGTGATGGATGGCAGAACAAGGAGCAGTGGTCCCAAGGTCTAGGTTGGATATTAGGAAAACTATTTCCCTAGGCGGGTGGGGAAGCACTGGGACTGGTTCCCTGGAGAGGTGGAATCTCTAACCCTAGAGGTTTTGAAGGCTGGGTTGATTGAATTGGGATTGGTTCTGCTTTGGGCAAGGAGATTCTATAATTCTATAAAAGGGTCTAGAGAACATGAGCCATGAAGGAAGATGGAAATAATTGGGATTGTTTAGTCTAGAAAAGAGAAGACTGAGAGGGGACCTAACAGCTTTCAATTACTTAAAGGGGTGTTTCAATGAGGAAGGAGAAAAATTGTTCTCTTTAACCTCTGAGGATAGAACAAGCAGCAATGGGCTTAAACTGCAGCAAGGGAGGTTTAGGTTGGACATTAGGAAAAACTTCCTACCTGTCAGGGTGGTTCAGCACTGGAATAAATTGCCGAGAAAGAGGTTGTGGAATCTCCATCACTGGAGATTTTTAAGAGCAGGTTAGATAAACGTCTATCAGGGATGGTCTACAAAGTGCTTGGACCTTCCATGAATTCAGGGGACTGGACTTGATGACCTCTCGAGGTTCGTACCAGTTCAACTATTCTATGATTCTAACTATTACTCTGCCTGACTCCACACGCACACAATAAGAAAGACAAGACAGAGAACATCTTTTTCATACATTCGTTAAACACACTCCTTTCCTCCCCCTACCTCTATGTATTATGTATTTACTATTATGTGTAGGGCCCTGCATCACAGGCCATGAAATCTCATCTCCACCTATGAAATCTGCATAGATACTCGTTGTTTTACAGGGGATACCATTTTTACTCAAATTTGGGGCTCTGTCCCAATATGGGCATCACAAGGTTATTTTATGGGGTGGCTTACTCTATAGCCACCCTTGCTTCTCTACTTTCTTTAGCGCTGGGGGTCAGAGAGTCGGCAGCAATGCAGAAGTAAGGGTGTCAATACCATACCGTGCCACCCTTACTTCTGCACTGCTGTCTTCAGAGCTGTGTGGCTGGAGTGTGGGTGGCTCACCACCACCAGCCACTCAGAAGTAAAACATCAGTACTGCAACCACCTCAACAATAACCTTGAGACCACCCACAACTCCTTTTTGGGTCAGGACCCCTAGAATCACAACACCTTGAAATTTCAGATGTCAATAACTGAAATCATGAAATGTATTATTTTAAGAACTGTGGAACCATGAAACTGAACAAAGATTTGGATGAAACCACCACCAGCCACTCAGAAGTAAAACATCAGTACTGCAACCACCTCAACAATAACCTTGAGACCACCCACAACTCCTTTTTGGGTCAGGACCCCTAGAATCACAACACCTTGAAATTTCAGATGTCAATAACTGAAATCATGAAATGTATTATTTTAAGAACTGTGGAACCATGAAACTGAACAAAGATTTGGATGAAATCTCAGGAAAAACTTCTTAGCTGAAACATCAGTACTGCAACCACCTCAACAATAACCTTGAGACCACCCACAACTCCTTTTTGGGTCAGGACCCCTAGAATCACAACACCTTGAAATTTCAGATGTCAATAACTGAAATCATGAAATGTATTATTTTAAGAACTGTGGAACCATGAAACTGAACAAAGATTTGGATGAAATCTCAGGAAAAACTTCTTAGCAGGAAGAACACGAGGGGTAGTGGGAGAGAGGAGGGTTTCAGAGGCTGGATAGGCATCTGTCTTAAATGGTTGAGACACAAATCCTGCATCTTGGCCGGGGATTAGACTGGGTGACCCTTGAGGTCCCTCCCGGCTCTATGCTTCCATAACCCTTATTGTGTGAGCATTGCCAACCGTACAACTTCAAACGTTATAAAACAGAATTTTTAAAAATCCCACGAGACTGTTACGAAGATAATGAGACTCTAAAATAAATTTGGTTCTTTGTGTCTATATTGTCGTTTTTGAACTCTCAATGAGGGGGAAGAATGTGCTCATACTTGCGGTAGTGCATTTTTAGACGAATTTTCACACACCAGTTCAATCTCTGTGCTGTTCCCAGCGCTTGGTTTCTCCTGCTTTCCCACATCACTTCATGTACAGCTGTCTCTCATTTATACTTGTACATTTTCAGGAAATTTTGCCTCCTCCTGAGCCCTTCAGAACAGAGGCAAAGCTTCTGTGTGTCTCACTGTGACCGCGCTTTGCTGTGTCTCCTCCCAGCTTTGCTGTACTTCCAGATGCCCCAGCACCTAGAGGAAATCATCCTTTATCAACAGTACCTCCCTACTTTTGTTAAAAGGATATTGCCACAGCTAGAGGTGCAAGGAAGCGGGTGCACCCTGATGCGCAGCTCCAGCAAGAGCCGGCTACACTGCAGGAAAAGCCCACAGGGAACTATTCGAAGAACTGGATTACAACAGGCCAGCACCTGTAAGAAAGGTTAAGTTGCTTTCACTGCTGGCCACAGCAATTGCTTGCTTGCTCTGTCCATCATACTCACTGCCCAAAAGACCAATAGCTACCCCCATGTTGTACTCTTTTATCGCCCCATCAAAGTTTTTTAAAGATTGTTTGCTGGAAAAGTGCAGCATCTTCTCCAGCACGGGTAATGGTGAGTAAAAAGTGGAAAGTGGATCCTTCCTGTTGTTATCTGATGTGATCGAAAGGCATGGTACTCACCAGGTCTGAGAGGCGGCTGGCCATTTCCTACTGAAAGCTCGGCTATTCCTAGTCACCGGCAAGTCCCTGTCAAGTGTGTGATCCTCTTTCTAAGCGTTTTTTACTCAAGCATGTTATTTAAGTAACAAGGAGCTAGGATCATGGGACTGAAGTTAATTTTTACTTTTTGTTTTCAATGAATTATGTTATTTTTAGTCATTGGGCAAGACACATCCCTATTAGATTAAATATTTCAAGAAACAAGATATGCCAGGCCAAATCCAATATGGAAAGAAATTTTTCCTCCCCTTTTATGTGGCGGGTTCTTGCTGATGTGGGACAGAAAGCAGGCAGCTATTTCAGACATCAAAGCTAAATGATGTTGCAGTTATTGTCACATACTCTGATTCTCTGACATGGCATGAGAGATTGCTCAGAGGTTGTTTCTTTTTGGTTTTGGAGGTGCATTGTATTGTAACATTCATTTAAAGGCTCATGCAATGTTTATGCAGTTTAATATCATCTTCAGACCTAATCTCTGTAATTGTTGTTTCAACCTGTTTCAGCCTGTTTCAACTTACAAACTTCTTGCCTCACTTTTCAGACCCTGCCGAGCTCCCTTCATCTTTGCTTCTGTTCCCTCATCCTCCTCTTCATTTTGTGTTTACGCCTCCCAAACCTCATCTAAATGGCTCGCTTATATCTTCTCCCCACACCTACCCTTGCACTCTGAACTTCCAAAGCTGATACTGTGGCCACTAACCCTTCCCTGGCATGGTAGTATTTACATATTATAAGTTGTTAGCTATATCTTGTATGGACATGCAACCCATTTGATCAAGCACAAGAAATGCAGGTAAATTCGAGTTTCTGCCTCTCCCATGGAGCCGATTCCTATTTATGAGCAGTCACTTAACCTGTGTTCCAAAATCCAGTTTAGCTGGTGGTTGTGTTAGGCTGTGTCTAGACTGCATCCCTTTTCCGTAAAAGGGATGCAAATTAGACATATCGCAATTGCAAATGAAGCGGGGATTTAAATCCCCCTCACTTCATCAGCATAAAAATGGCTGCCACTTTTTTCCGGCATGGAGCTTTGCCGGAGAAAAGCGCCAGTCTAGACGCGGATCTTTCGGAAAATAAAGCCTTTTCTGAAAGATCCCTTATCCTTTATTTTAAGAGGGATCTTTCAGAAAAGGCTTTATTTTCCAAAAGATCTGTGTCTAGACTGGCACTTTTTTCCGGCAAAGCTCCGAGCCTGAAAAGAACGGCAGCCATTTTTATGCTAATGAAGCAGGGGAGATTTAAATCCCCGCTTCATTTTCAATTGCGATATGTCTAATTTGCATCCCTTTTTACGGAAAAGGGATACAGTCTAGACACAGCCTGGCTGTGTCTAGACTGGTCAGTTTTTCCGGAAAATCAGACACTTTTCCGGAAAAACTTGCCAGCTGTCTACACTGGCCGCTTGAATTTCCGCAAAAACACTGACGATCTCATGTAAGATTGTCAGTGTTCTTGCAGAAATACTATGCTGCTCCCATTCGGGCGAAAATGGCGATTGGGGCTTTTTTGCGGAAAAGCGCGTCTAGATTGGCCACGGATGCTTTTCTGCAAAAAGTGCTTTTGTGGAAAAGCATCCGTGCCGATCTAGATGTTCTGTTACGAAAATGCTTTTAACGGAAAACTTTTCCGTTAAAAGCATTTCCGGAAAATCATGCCAGTGTAGGCGTAGCCCCTTAGTGTTATTCAGAACATTTCTTGATGATCAAGTTCACATGGGGAAAGTAGGTGAAAAGTTAGAGAGACTGGATGAGCAAGGCTGGGATCATGTAAATGACACGTTACCTGATCTTGCTCTGTGTACAGCTGCTGTGTCATGCCAGGAAATGCAATGCAGACTAAAGGAGACCCTTCACACAGATTATTTCACTTCATTCTCAGAGCCCTACCTAACCTAGAAGTCCAAGGGAGAGGAAGATGCTTTAGCACTTCGCAGGAGTGGGTCCAAAATGCACAGATGTGGGCACAGATTGACCAAGGCTTTTAGGTGCCTAAAGATGCAAATGGGCACCTGGAGCCAGATTTTAAAAAAGTGTTAGGCATGTAAGTGCTTTTGAAAATCCCACTAGACAACTAACTGCATCTTCAGGTGCCTAAATACCTTTGAAAATCTACAGCCTTCAAAAATACCTTAGGTGAATCAGGTACCTAACTCCCATGGACTTTCAATAGGAATTAGTCACCTAATCTTCTTAAGAGCTTTAGTCAATCTCACTGGATGCCTATCTTCATCTTAACGTCTTAAATATCTGAGTAAATCTGGCCTCTGGAGTACAGGAAGCTAACTCTTTTATCCAGGCCTCCGCTTCCAAAGACATCCAGTCATGTACTATTTATACCTCTTGCGGTATATTACACACAAAAACTGTGAAAAGAACATTGTGAAGGCAGCCAAGTCAAACACTGAAAAGTTAGGACATGCCAGACTCTTAAATTGATCCTCTTGTGCATATGCTTTATTATGAGCCTGTACTTATGTTGTGTGGTTCGATTTATTTTAGATCCGAGGGAGACCGGGACACTCCAGAGAGACTTAACCACTTCCTCATCTATTGCAAGCCTTTAAGCAGTTAATACAGTGGTTTAAGTTTTACAAGCCTTAAAAACAATTACTACGCAATTTAAACCACAAATACTATAAATTTTGAAAACAATTAGTACAGCACAAAACAATACAAAAGCAATTAATAGAAGATTTATTATAATACAATAATTATGCTAGGTCACTTACACGTTACCCGTATGCTGCCTATAGTAGCAGGCAGGAGGTTGGTGCACCCTTTGACTCCTACGCTTCAGTACACCGTGCCCTGCGGTAGCCAGTGTGAAGAGGCTTTTACTTCTAGTTACAACAAGAAGGACCCTTGTGTCAATCCTACTCACTACCTCCCATCGATTCTTCTTACTAAGCCCATATTATAGCAAAGCGAGACTTGGTCCTTCTAATAAAACCTACCAATTAATTACATATTGTGTAACGAACCTATTGTGCCCTTATTTGGGATATATCCTGCTACTTGGGATGTTGCCAAACAAAATGCTTAGTTAACAGTTCTATGGCTGTCTATGCTTTTTGCTTATCAGAAATAAAATGTACCAGTTTACTCCCAGTTTCTTTTCGCATGATCACACTGAATTATGCTGGATACACATGACTGTGCAAAAACGTTCCTGCCACTCCAAGTCCCAGCTTGGCCTGCATGCTACGTACACCAGACTTGAGACAGGCCTGGGTTTAGCTTTGTTAGAGGTTGATACTTTGAGTAAAGGAGACATAGTGGGGTTTAGTCAAGACAGGGCCTTCTACAACTTATCACTTACTATTATTTTTCCAGGACTTTTGCTTTTATTCACTGTACAGAATGGATGGAGCTCACTAAGGCTATTTTCTACACAGCAGCATTATTTTGGAATAAATGACAGTATTCCGAAAGAACATAGTCCATGAATACACACAATCAATTATTTCAACAATGTCAAAAGAGTGTTGAGCTGGAGGACTTCTTACTCCAACTGCTCTAACCCTCATTGTATGAAAAGTAAAAGAAGTCGGGAGAAGAGTGCTCTATTTTGACAGCACCAAGTCAAAAAAAATCAAAATAAAAAAGTCGAAATAAGCCATTTCAACTTAAGCTACACAATTAGCGTTGCTTGAGTTGAGCAGCTTATTTTGAATTTAGCTCTGCTATGTAGACATGGCCTTAATGAGCAGCGATTCAGTATTTTTTTTTAATTTTCAGTGTTCATTGTGCAGCCTTAAGCCTTATTTACTGCACACTGTGCAAACCTTGCTCTACAGACCAAGTTACTAATTTCCACAAGGGGTTTTCTGTGGCACTAATCAGATAATATCTGAATACTTTATGTAAGTTAATTAATTTTCATAAAACCCCTCTGAATGGGGGGCTGTGATATTAACCCCTTTTACAAATGGAGATCTCAGCACTGAAGATTAATATCAGAATTATCTACTAACTCCGAGTGCCCAACTTGAGACACCTAAAACCTGATTTTTCAGAGCACCGTCAAATCCTTATTTTACAAACTAAGGGTATGTCTACACTACCCTCCTAATTCGAACTAGCGGGGTAATGTATGCATACCACACTTGCAAATGAAGCCCGGGATTTGAATTTCCCCGGCTTCATTTGCATGAAGCCGGCCGGCACCATTTTTAAATGCTGGCAGTTCGAACCCCGTGCGGCGTGGCTACACGCAGCACGGAGTAGCTAGTTCGGATTAGGCTTCCTCGTGGAATGAGGAGTACAGCTAGTTCGGATTAGGAAGCCTAATCCGAACTAGCTACTCCGTGCCGCGTGTAGCTGCGCGGCACGGGGGT